GTGAGATGAACACGCCCGCTTGTCGCTACACCTGTCGCAATGCCGGCGCCTCCCTTCCTGCTCGCCTCTCATGGAAAATGAATTAAGAGGCGCGTAAATCGCTTCCCGCGTGAAAAGGCCTTAATACTTCCCCCCTCGTTCCGGAAGAAGGACGTGACGGCCATGTTGGTGACGTTGTTCATTGAGCGGTTTCACACAAAACTAAATATAACTTTACTGTTTTACGACAAACTGCGACTTTCTTTGACAAACGTGTGTGTAGATTTTTTTTCCCGAAATGGATCGGACTTCCTATTCTTTCTGTTTCCTGTCTGTTTCTTGCCTTCAAACTGAACTAAAAATGCTAAAAAAATAATGTAAAAAGCAATTCCATATACATATCTTCCACAGATATAACCTGGTACATGTCTCAGCCACCAGTCTCTGCTATTTGTTATTTCCCTGCTTTGCTATTATTTTCTTTTAGAACACAACAGGAAAGTAAATTAATTTATTCTCTACTAACTACTAATAAATGAACCTCTAATTATAGTATGCTGTCAACCTTCATACACAGTTTCTACTTTCTGTTAGGGTTGGGTATCGAGAACCGGCTCCAAGTTGGAACAGGTACCAAATTTCCAAGAACCGTGGACTCGTTAAGACCCGTGCGTTTGGATTCTGCTCCTCGGTTCCTAACTTCCTGCATATCTCAGCTCCTGACTGAACTGCAGTGAGCATTTTACATCAAAGTGTCTCTAATCTGCCAGGAGCTGCTACGCCGACCTAACATCACCTTGTTTGTTACGTCAACAAAGCGTGAAGAAGAGGGTCCTTCTGGTTCCGGTCCTGGATCGTGGCGGACCGCAGCAAACGCTCCAAAGTTTGGCTTTAGCTTCACTAACAAACTGCAGCAGCTGCAGTCAGGAGGTTTGGTGCGAGGGAGGAAGCGGCTCTAACGTGACGAAGCGTTTCCTTCAACACGGCGTGAATCTGAAGGAACGCTTCACCGTGTTCAACGTGTCGCGCTCTCCCAGATCCAGCTGACGCCAACAGCAGCGACGCCTCAGGTACAAAACACAGGTGAGCCGACGTTCAACTTTTATACTGCAGGGAAACCAACGATGGCTCCAGATGAGACGAGTCCCAGAGACGCCGCTCTAGGACAGAGACTCCTTTCACTTTAGAGACATGCAGGGGAGGAGGAGCGAGGAGGAAGGAGCTCTGTGGTTAAGGGGTTGGAATCAGAAGAACTGGATTCCATTAGTAGAAACGGATTATATAAAATAGAAACGATACACAGCTCTACTTTTTCTACTGACTGACTGACTCTTTATCTTCGCTACTTTCTCCAGATGATGCAAACACAGCTCAGATATAAACTGTACTGATCTGGACAGTGCAGGACTTGTAATCAGTCTTTGCATCGTCTTATTTTACAGCAGTAAATGTTGGATGTTTCCACAGAGATTAATCCAGTCTGAACTCTGCATCCATTTCTCTCCGACCCTGTCATGCTCCACGTATTTATTTCCATTTATTTATTTCTCTATTCATTTTTCTTTATAGTCAAAACGCCTTGGCAGCGCCGCTCATCTGACATCCAGACCAATAAAGCAAACTGGAGTGAAATGAGCTACGAGGGAAGAGATTTAACTAAAGATGAAGAGGGATGGAGGGAAGAGGCAGGAGAACGAGGGAGGACAGAGTCAGAGAGGGAGGGAGGGGAGTAATGTGAAGGAGGAGAAAATCTTAATTATCAAATGAGTCTGGATTGAATTAATTAATACTTAGAGAGACGTAACACCGGTCTCTCTTCAAAGATGGTCTCTAGATATGAACGTCCATTTTATTTAATAAACCCAAATGTGCCTCTAAGGGGTTTGAGTACAGAACACCAAGACATGCTGTTCAAAGCCCTGAAGAGAGGAAGCTAGTAAGTGGACCTTTATTTACTGATAATATTGATTCAAAGGTCAAGAATGAAATTCCCTGCTGCACGCTGTAAATATTCAGATTTAACACCAGGGCTGAACAATTAATCAAAATCACATCACGGCCTACTTCAATTGTCAAATCGCAGGAGGTGCAATATTTGTTAAAGGATATGTGCGTGTGTCAAAATACCATTTTAAATTAAATAAATATTGTCGTGCTGCAGACGTCCTGGCGTACACAACATATTCTAGAGACTTAAAGGGGCATTATGGAGTTTCCAGCGGCCAAAAACGTTGGCAACCAGGCGTGTGCTCGTACGCACTCATGACCGCTTTCATACAGAAATCCCGCAATAAACGCAGGATCACCAGCATGCAGGCTGTGGCTTTTCTCCAGACATGTTCAGGCTCTGTTATTTCAACGTTCTCGGCGAACGGAGTGTACCTGAGTATCAGTAAAACCACGATAAATCTAAATTGAAAGTTACGAAGCAAAAAGCAGCAGGTCCGTGCTAACGATAGCTGCCCTGTATCACTATAGGCTAGTAACATAAACAAATCGCTGCACATTTGCTTTGTTAGGTGGTGAGCTAACGTGACTCTCTCCTTGACTTTTTGGTGGGACTGTTTTTACTCGACATCATCTGAATCTTGTTTGGTCCGACAGGCTTCGTCACATAAACCTTTACTGTTGTTTTTATCCTTACGTGGAGTTTATGTTGGAGTCAATGTTTTACGGTGTTAGTGGACTGCATGTCGTTAGCTGCCGTGTTGTCGCTGTAGTCTGAGAGGCTCGGGAGGGCTCACAGGGCTGAATTCGACCCGGAGACCTCACATTGAAAGCAGAATAGTGGCTGATGCAAGCAACGGAGAAAACAGGCGTGTGCTTCATTTCTAAGTGAGTTTTGAGCCCACTGACAATAAAGCAATGATAATTTGATAAGTAATTTCATTTCTTAAAGAAGACATCTTTGTTTGGTACTGATCCCCTCATAAATCACACCATAATGAATACTGATGTAAAAATTATTATTTCTTTTAATATCACAATTGTAATATCAGTCATCAAGTAAAAGCCTGCGCTCTGAAGAGGCCTTCACCAAACCACTGCCACAAAGGTGGCGTGCGCGCCGCATTATGGCTGCGCCACGGTTTTGACCCGTCCTCCGCCCTGAATTTCCCACATGGAGCATTTCAGAATAAGAGCGTTTTGCCTGCCTGATTTTGCTGAATTGTTTAGATTTAGTTGATTTGATAAGTTGTCCTTGATTTTTGTGCTTCTACCGTGGTTAAGAAGGCTACATAGTTAAATTGTTTATTTTTTGGTCTGTTTTAACTGTTTATTGTTGATATACAACCGGAAGTCTGTACAATGCATTTTATTTTGAAAATCGCCCGGCTGCCCGGCTCATCTGCTCTGTGCTGCTTGACGCGTCTTACATCAAAAATAGAACGGCTGCCTATTCTCCGCGTAGCGGTGCTTTTGGGACACGCTGCGGTACTTGTAGTGTGAGCACAAGCATCGACTACAATGGCAGCGATTAGCTACGGCAGCTGTGGCGCAGCCGTAAGGCGGCGCACATGCCGCCTGTGTGAGTCCGGGGTGGAGGGGGAGCAGGGCTCAAGACTGCAACCATTTTTTTTTAAACAGGGCAAGTATTTTTAAAATCTACGTGTTCGGCCTGCTAATTTAACAACAATTAGTTTTGGCCATCAAGAGCACCAGTAAATTTCTGGTGGCCTGAACATAATTGTCAACTTAACTAGCGGCAGCGATAAAATAGCAAACTTTATTTTATACACTGAACAAAATTATAAACGCAACACTTCTGTTTTTGCCCCCATTCATCATGAGCTGAACTCAAAGATCTAAGACTTTCTCTATGTACACAAAAGGCCTGTTTCTCTCAAATATTGTTCACACATCTGTCAAAATCTGTGTTAGAGAGCACTTCTCCTTTGCCGAGTTAATCCATCCACCTCACAGGTGTGGCATATCAAGATGCTGATCAGACAGCATGGGGATTGCACAGGTGTGCCTTAGGCTGGCCACAATAAAAGGCCTCAGGCTGGCCACAATAAAAGGCCACTCCAAAATGTGCAGTTTCACTGTATTGGGGGGGTCCGGAAACCAGTCTGTATCTGGTGTGACCATCATTTGCCTCACGCAGTGCAAGATATCTTCTTGGCATAGAGTTGATCAGGTTGTTGATTGTGGCCTGTGGAGTGTTGGTCCACTCCTTTTTAATGGCTGTGCAAAGTTGCAGTCAGGTCGAGACCCCGATGAGGACGACGAGCATGCAGATGAGGGTTAGTGTGCACGCATGTGGTGGTACGCAGGTGGTATTGTGAATATTGCCTGTTGGGCCCGACCAAGTTTAAATGCGTTCCGTGACTGTATCTGCTGCACTCGATGTGGTCCACAACATGCGGGGAAAACCAAGTTTGCTGAGGCAGATCTGCCTCGACATAAATAAAATCGCCACACTGCGAATTTCCCCTACGCGGGATTAAGAAAGGTTTATCTATTCTATTTGTTAAGCACTGTTTTATTAAAATGTGACTGTGAACTAAAATAAAACTGCACATTGTAGTTTCTGTATATTAAAAAATAATTTTTCAGTATTACTGTTAAAATGGGGAAATTTGTGTTTCAAGTCCATTTAAGATGTGCGCCCTGAAGTTTCAGTTAGAGGCTACAGTGCTCCTTGTCAAAAAGGTTATTACTGTGTGTGGCATTAAGATTCCCTACAAAGGAGAAAAACAGACTACAGCTGCAACTCTCGGTCCATAAATTAGTGTTATTTTGCAGTTTCTGGTTCCAGCCTCTCAAATGTCAGGATTTTAGGCTTTTCTTTGTCATATTTGATAGTAAACCGAATATTTTTGACTGTGGGTTGAATAAAACAAGCTATTTTAATAGATCATCTTAGGCAGTGGGATATTTCTCTATCTTATAAAAACGATTCATTGGTTAACTGAGAAATGAATCGCCAGATGAATCAATGAGACCTGTAACAGACCCGGACCAAAAAGACGCTGAAGGATGTGGACAGAGGGACCCATATACTGTATATGTGTTACCTTTGGCACAGGCAGCGGCGCGCTGAGAGACACCCGGCTGCCGTCCTCCCTCCTCTCTGCTCCGTCCACCTGAACACAAACAGAGCTCAGGTCAGAATCAATGAAGCTGCAAGAAAAAGATCACGCTTAAGGGTCCGTGTCCAACAAAGTTTTTTTTTTTTTACCAGCTGAAATAGTCAGCTGCTGTTCTACAATGTCTAGCTGGGAGCGCTAAGGTGCGCTTTGGAGGCGCTGTGGTTGCTATGATACATAATTTCCATGGAGGTGATGTGCTGCAGGTAGGCTACTAATTTCGCTGAGTAAAAATGTCACCACAAAGCACTGAAACATGAGAGCACAGACTGTCCGTACGCGGGTTCATGAGATTTTGCGGGCGAGGAAACATCGTTTCATTCAAGATCGGATACGCTCGGTGTGGTGTCTGTCCCGCCCCTCCTGCACTGTGATTGGACGGCTGGGTAAAAAGTCACAGTGATGAGCGCAGCGTTTTTCCCCCAAAGTTGAACATTTTTCAACTCTCGGCGAGCGGAAAAGGCGCCTCGTCACGCTGCTGCTGCTGTTTTCACCGTGTTGTAAAAACGCGGCGCTCCCATTGCAATGACTTGAAAAGAAGACGCTTTGGTGGACACGGGCCATAAGTTTGTAATTAGAAACTAGAAGGTGTGAATGCTCCACCAGAGGCTTGCGGATGCCGAGGCGGACCGTGCCAGGCGGGGCAGACTTCAGGACCTCCACCGCCTGGGCCAAGGTGAGCTGGTCCAACAGGGTCTGGTTGACAGAAACCAGCTGGTCTCCAGGAAGTAAACCGCCGTGACGCTCGGCTGAACTGCCAGAAACCACAGACCGGATCACCATCACGCACCGACCGGTATCCAGCGGGTCCTGGAGAGAGAGAGAGAGATAAAGAATCTTTTCATCGTTTGCTCTGAGGGGTTTGTACCTGGAAAACCCTTGAGCAGAAAACTCTCATAAACGAGGTATGAATTACGGGGGGGATCTGACCCCTTTAATTGACGTGGACGCTCCAAAAGAGGCAAAAACAACAGCTGAGGGAGTCTCTTACCTGTAATTATAAATATTACAAAGTATTTCCCATATTTATGCCTCCTGACTCTTGAAATGCGGTTTCAGACAGCTGCCCTGTCATTTCCAGTGCTGGCTTGGCGTTTCATCACCACTATAAAATGTCATATTTTATCTAATAGTTAAGACATGAGCTGTGAAATTGAGGATTCATTATTGTAGAAATATTATTTTGACATCAATATAGAGCTTATCATTTAATTTGAAGTCTTTTATGAGTCTTTTTTCAGGAGTTTTACCTGTCCAGGTCACTGAAAAAGCTTATTTTATTTCTAATGTGTGACTACACATTACATTTATTCACAGTTGACATGAGCAAGAGCAAAGGAAATATTCAACACTTTTTTGGTGCTGGCAGTTTTGCTCTAGAATACTTTTCCACCCCAGACTCCAGGAGCTGTGGTATGGGGCACCCTGAACAGGTGTAAGAAATCTATAGACTGCACACACTACATTAACAAGCAAGGATAGTATAAGACGTTAGTTCACTGAGCTGGACTGGGTTTCCTTTACAACAAGGAAAAAACTGGACACCCCTGACTGTCACTGTACACTTTACACTCTGCTGCAAACTTGCCAACAGCGAGTTGCTCATTTCTTACATTTCGATTTGCTTGAGAACAGAACGTGCTTCGAGCTTTAAGGCCGGATGCAACATGTGGCCTTTTAGTAGATAACGTTTTTAAGACGCGTGACTGATGAAATGCATCGTGATCCGCTGAAATACCAGTGAGGGGAGGCAAATTGCATTATGGGATTTGTATTTTAAAATGTTTTTAGCCTCTGTGTGGACCGCAGGTGATAATGGCTGATAACGGTACAACATGTATGCCGATTACAGCAGTTACTCTGAAACAGATTAGAAGATTCAGTCCCAGATTATGACGCGACTGCTGACCCGCTAGCCAACGGTCCGTGGGTGAGAGACGAGGTGTTCATGGAAGAGGAGGAGGATTTCGGCGAGTTTGCCGGGTGTGACGGAGACAAACTTAAATGCAGAACAAAGCAGGAGTGAAAGAAATGAAAACCTTCTCTGGGCCGTGTGTCACCCTGTGAGCCTTCTTTCTTCAGCTGCAAGCGAGCAGAGACTACTGGCAAAAAATAATATATAAGCTCTCAAATGGTTTTAATGTTATGTTTCTATCTGCTACAGGCGCTGAGAAATAAAGTTTTTCAGAAACCCCCCCTCAGGTTTTAGGAGGTTGTTTTCCAACAGGGCCTCAGGTTTTAAAATGCTTTTCTACAGGGCGCCGCAGGTCGGAACGGACCAATGTAGGTTTTCCCTCATTTTAAAAGATGGAGATGAACAAACCTCGCAGAGCCCTGAAGCTAAACCACAAGCTAAAGACCCGTGAGGTGAAGGGTCCTGCAAGAAACTGGACCAAAGAACTCAAAAGACTCCATCTCTGCCTTCGAGCTGCTCAGAGCGTGACACAGGTGTGATACAGAAAGCTCCCTGTTTCTGGCCCAACACGGGTCAGACAGACAGAGAGGGGGGAGATCATTGGCTCCCAGCAAAGAGAGAGGGAGGCAAAGCAGCAGAGAGACAGGCAGGGGGAGACAGAGACCGGAGAACCGACGGGAAAACCATCTGCACAAACACACAACAACACACAAACATGCAGAGGGGAGGTCGACGCGGGAGGAGGACGCACTTCCTCAACTTCCATCTTTACACAGTGAGCTTCTTTTGTCCACAACCCAAATATGTTCTGTCACAGAGGAGCAACGACACCAGATAATATTCACAATTAAGGAGCTAGAATCTTGACTCAAAGCGATTAATTTAACAGTTGAGAGTTAACTGATTAATCCACTAATAGCTCTACAGTGAGATAGGAGATGGTGCAGAGTTTCATGGCTTTGCAACAAGGGCTGGAAAAAGCAGAGGTGGGAGTGAGAATCCAGTCCCAGGTCGTTCTGATGACCTCCCCCCAGTTTCACATCAGAATCAGTTGAAAGACAGCGCTCACAAAAAGTGGAGTTCAACAAAAACTGTTGCAGTCTTTGTACAACTTAAAAACCTTAATGATGTTTGACTGCGGAGCTAGACTCTCAGCACAGTGGGGGCGGGGCTTCATCACGTGGACCACCTGCTACAAAGTCATTTGGACCGAGTTTACATGACCCCGGACTCGCTCCGAAAGTCCATCTGCGGCTGCCGGAGCCGATCGCAGCCACTCCAGTAAATGTTTGTGCTCTCACCAGAAGCGTCTCGCCGCTCCTCTCTGGAGAGAACAAGCAGCCATTATCAAAATAAAACACCCTGCGCAGGGACGAAAGCGGGTCACAGAGAGCCGTGAAGAAGGGAGTAGAAGCACAAAAGAGACATATTAAAAACAAGTCATTAACGTGGGGCAGGAAAAAGCAGATCACATCACAAACTTGGAAGACTTTACTGATGCCGTATGCCTCTTCCACGGCCGCTCCGACCACAGAACAAACACGCCATAAAAAAAAAAAAAAAACTTTAGGTCAGTGACGGAAGAGGCTTATATCAATCTAGAAAAAAAATCACTCAGTGGTGTTTCAAAAACAAAACGTGACTTCTCTTGATTTAGAAAAATGTAGTCAGAGTCAAGTCTCAAGTTTTTTTTTTTTTTTTTTTAAAATCGGTGTTAGTCAAGTAAGTCTGAAGTCATGTAAAGAGACATTTTCATGCTCCACCAGAGAAACTGGTGGAGCATGAAACAGCAGCTGGAGGTCGATGTGAACGTTCAGATTTAAATCATGACAGATCTTCTAACCAGTTCTCAGTAGTTAAAGAAATATCCAGTCTCAACTTTCAGGCCACGGACCGTCTGAAATCTTCACATGTTGCCGTCACTCTTTACTTTCATCTGTCGGATGCTGTTTGCTCGGACGCTGTGTAAGCAAAGCAGAAAATACCCACAAACTTACCGAGCAGCTGTAGGCACTGGGGTAAATGTTACAGGTAAAGGTATTTTGTCCTCTGCGTTTAACCCTCCCTCAAGGGAGCCGCGAGGCACCAGCTCCAGATCTGTACCAGTGGCACTGACTGGAGAAGCGAACATGTTTTTGATGGCGGAGGAAACCCACGCAGACACAGGAAGAACATGCAAACTCCACACAGAAGGGCCTGGGTCGACCAGGGTTCGAACGTTCGTCTCTGTCCAAGGATGGATTTTGGCGACTGCGAGATGAAGCTGAAAGCTCCAAATGGCGAATAAGTGGACCTTTGAGTTTACATTACTATTCCCACGTCCTTTATAGAGCAACTTGACACACTGATGATCTTTCACCCCGAGAGGAAAAATTTAACAAGAGAGAAACCAGCTCTGCTCCAGGACAAGAAGACCGAGACTAGTTTCTCTCACTTCTTGAAATTTTGTGTTTAAATCATGGGGAAGATGGAGACAAACGTCTGTCAAACGTCTTCCAACATTTTAATATGTTTTGCCAGCAAAAAAAAAAAACACTGCTCAATTTATAGTAAAGTAAAATATTTGTCATTGATATATCCATTTAATTACATTCTTACATCTAGAAATGGCAGATTTGTTCCTGTTCAGCTGACCAGCTCTGCATTTATCAGTAATTAGAAGCACATCAATTGTTCACTTTTTCTATTTCACCTGTTATTAATGAACAATACGAGTTCTTTCCTTGAAACCTCTGAGGAAATTATTAGGAATTATCCATCATAAGTATATGGAGCATCAGTGGTTTCAGCTTTTCTAAAATGTTTTGAACTTTAAAACAAGTTTTAAAATAGAAGTCCAGAGGTAATTAATTACCCCCTAACTTTATCCAGCTCTGACTGGACTCGGCACCAGCACGTCATGTCGGCGCCGTCTGTTTAACCAGAGAAACCAGAAGAAGGACGGCCCGGTACCTGCTACAATCCAAACACCGCAGAGGTTCATATACCAACTACAAAATCCTCTTCTGGTTAGAGCGGATGTATATTTTGTGAATTCCCCCGTGTTGAACCCTGGGCATCGCCCGCGCTGCAGAACGAGCTGCTGTGCCAAGTTTCAGGCTGCCAGAACAAAGCCACGCTGTATTTTTAGACTGAACAACATGGCTACAGGTGGTGAGGAGTCAGAACTCAAGTCCTCCACTCCTACAGGATCCTCCGGAAAAAGAAAGGCCTCTGCTGTCAAAAGTGGAGATATCAGAAACGTAGGAGAAAAAAAACAAAAAACAAAAAAGAAAAGATAAAGAAATTAAAAACGTACTTTGCCAGAAGTAGTGAAATGTTTCCACGGTTGGCTTCTCATGCGCAGATAACAACGGAGGGTTTTTAGTTTTGGGTATGGAGGTTGCAAAGTGTCTACACAAACTTTTTAAGACCTTTATGATTCCAGTTAGAACGAAACTCTGGCTTCAGATTTTTTATTTTAAACTTGAGACCTTTCAGGGTCTCTGAGGTTCGATAAAATGAACAAAAAACCTTCCATACTTTTTTCCACTTTCTGAATACAAACAGTCCTGGTATTATTCCACCGAATTCTCATCTTAATGCTCCAGCATACAATATTATTTGTGTTGTTTCTCTGCTTCATCGAGACACCAGCGCACGCTGCGATAGTAATCAAGTCACTCTCGCGCTGTGTGTCGTGACAACGTAACCGAGTTTTGCAACGGCCTTGCTGTTTGGGACTGTGAGCGGCACTTGATCAGAGCTGCTGAAGTTAACATGTGTGATGAGACATCACAACTGTTTTCAGTTAGTTTTAACTTCTTTTCCTCATACTAACATACAGTCACAACTGTGTGAAGGGGAAACAGCAGAATCAGACACGTCTATTGAAGAGTATTTGATTCTTGTGTAA